TCTGACTCCACAAGTTTACAAAGTATAACTAGTCAGAGTGAAGATATAAAACCTTTAATGATTTGTGAGGAGGAACCAAAATTGTCTACTTCTGTTATTAAAGAGTTTGAAAATGATGAACTTGACGGTAAATTGAATATTCGTGATAATGATCATGATAGTGCAGATTTCTCTTTGGTTGATCATGATGAGATGAGGGATATGCCTACTACTGCTAAGTTAAATAAAGGTTCTGTACAACTACAACGTGAAGTAGAATTGAACGCAGATGCAGTTCCAGAAGGTGTGCATACTTGTGAGACAGTCAGTGTAATTGATCAGCATGTAGCCCACCTATCATCAGATGCTAGTGCTAAACCTGAGCTGATAGTAAAAGACAGCAGTGGTGGTGGTCTTGCATGTAGACAAATTTCTGAAAGTCGAGCAACAACAGCTTTTGATCCACCGCTAAGTTCATCAACTGATATCAATCAGTCGTCGTTGGTGCTGTCATCCACAATGAAACAGACACCCATCAACTCAAGTATCTTGTGCAATGGCTATGCTAGTAGTAGTTCGTTTGAAAGGACGAATATCAATGGTCAGTTTAGTGAGAATAAGCCAAGTGTAAACGAGAGAGTAATTGTTAAATTGACTTGCACGAATAAAGGCATTTCTAGTTTCAAGTTACTATTTGAATGCTATTATCTTTGGTGTAAATTACTCTGTTTCTACGCTTGGTTGATGAGATACGTCGTGTGTTTGTTCGTCATCTATATTCTACGATACAATGACATGGGCGTGTTGCCGTTCAGATTTGAGGATATAGCTGATAGAAGGAAGTCAGCAAATGAACTCTGCGACGATTTTCCAACCTAGGGCGTCAACCTGAGAAGGGTTGTAGGCGTACTGCTGTAAGTCCTACAATTCTTCAAAGGGTAGCGCATCAATGAGCAGTCCAATGTGCTTGGTGTGTGATTTTGTACATATGTTCATGTTGTATATACTGAATTGATATCATCTGTCATCTAGCTGTTGGTAATTCTGTTTGTGTCCGGACGACTTCCACTTGGATCATCAACCTGAGAAGGAATGTAGGCGTACTGCTGTAAGTCCTACAGTTCTTCAAGGGTAGTTTGTCATGCCGGAATCCACAACATTTGATGTAGTGATTGTACATATGTTTGTGTTAAATAGTTGTGTGAGTTCCAATTACTGTAATTGTTGGTTAATCTTGTTTGTGTCCGGACATTCCACAACTTACAATCGTCAACCTGTGAAGGTTTGTAGGCGTACTGGTGTAAGTCCTGCAATTCTTCAAAGGAATTCCACCAAGACATGATCCGCGAGGTTATTTGTACTGTTTGTATATACGTGTGGTGTGTCTTCTCAATTTGTGATTTTGGATTCATTGTGTTTACTTGTTGTTTTCGTGTCTTGTTGTTATTGCGTAATTTTGTTAAAATTTTCGTCGTGATTACTTCTGAAGTTGTTTCGAGTCTTCTACATCCATGAATGAATTGATTGATGTTAAGGACAGCAGATGGGTCGTATACGCCGGGGAGGCTATTGCTGAGAATGAAATGCACACGGAGATAATTGTTAGCTGCGGTCCGACACGCCGGGGAGAAAGAGTGTAAACGACTGAGGCTCGCATGCGTCACCGCTACTAGAACTGAGGCAGAATGAGTGACAAGCGATTTCAGTGGTAATTGGTAATGAGTAGATAAGAGGATGTGCGTAGAGTATCGTGAGGTGCTGCCATGGTCACATTGCATTCTGCAAGAGTCATTCTAGCAAGTGGCGATTGTGTTGCAAGATGTCAAGAGGAGGTCTCTGTCTGGAGGCGCAGGTCGTCAGCGATGTGTGAGATTGTGCTGTGGGTATGCTTGTGGTGTGTTGGCTTTTCTGTTTGTTTTCCATTTCAGCTCTGTCCGTGTGACCCAGGTTCTCGCAATGGCATCCAAGTCAACGTGCATTGGTCGTGAAGGAAAAAAGGGTTGGATCCCTTTTTTGCCGGGGAGTGTCAATGGAGTTGAAGATTGAACGATCAATTCTTGGTTGTTTGCTCAAAACCAACTTCCCCAATTTTCGCGGAGGCATCAATACGACAGTCATCGTCTCATCGGTCGCTGTTCAGAAAGAAGAGTGAAACATCGTCAGAAGTAATACAGAGATTTATTATTGTAATATTTGTTTTCAGACCTTAGTTCGCTTATTCCTTTTATATGTTGGTGTAACAATAAACAAATATCAAGCGGCAGATCGGTGTTTTGGTTTTTTCGTCCGTTATAACTGAGCGTTTCTGAATTCTTCGAAGAACAGCGTGGGCCCGAGCGTAGCGAGAGCTGGGCATTAACGGTTTATGAGACGTGATTGACACTGACGCATAATCCGGTCCACCAAAACTAAGAATATCATCGTGAGTGATAATGGACAGCCTTGCCTTACTCCTATATGTGCTTGGAACACCTCGCTGAGTCTCCCCTTTTGGATCACTTGAAACGTGCCATTATCATATGGCTCTGGTTGAGTGAGGTTGATAAAGACTTGTGCACTGCACGCCGTAGTGCTGAAGTAGTTTCCATATCACTTCTCGGTCAACGCTGTCTGTCGAAGGCCTTTTCAAAGTCAATGAAATTGAGGTAGGGTGAGATTTGTTTGCCATGCCAGGCTTGATTGTGCGATGACGATGATTGGATTCGCGAGTTGTCAAGGGAACCATTCGCCTTTCCTTATACCAGCCTGTTCCAGTTTGAGTTCTATATTCAGTGTATTTTTTTCTCTCAAATATGATGCGACTCAGTACCCTATTTTGACGACGTCATTATTCCACGCCAGTTCTTTCACAGTCCTAATCCTCCCATCTTTGGCAGCTTGACGAGGTAGCCATCCTTTCTTTCAGTCTTTGTACACCTTTTCTTCCCTCAAAGTCGTTTGCAATAATGCTGTGAGCGCATCTTCCGCAGTCTCTGCATCCGTTTTCAGTGCCTCAGGGTGGACGAATTCCGTCTGGTCCTTCTGCCTTCCCGAATGGACTTCAATGGGTTGATCGCATTCAGAATTTTTGCCTTCGTTGAAGGATTTGTATCCACTGCCATTTCTTTGTGTGTTGTTGGTGCTCCTATACGGGTTACAGGTGGTGATCGATTCTAGAATCCTTTAAAGTTATCAGTCTATTGTTTTAATTATTTCCCATTCTTGGTAATCAGGTTCCTTTGAGCATTTTTGTTATTATTATTATTATCTGGGTTGATCTCTTCCTGAATACAGACCTAATGCCTACCTGATATAATGTCCTGTGGTCTTTTCACATGAAGCCTGTTCCGCTTCACTTGTCAGCCAATGTGTTGTAGAGCTACCTTTCCTCTTTCCTAGCACTATTCTCTTTTATATCCGGTGCAATGTACACTAAACCCAGCTTCTCCTTCTGTTGCCCATCTTTGCATTGGGCAGTCTTCTCTTTCACCGTCCTCCTCTTCTCGTTTCTGTTAGCTTCCAGGTAGGTGCTCGTCGACAGCCATTCTTTGTCGTGTCTCTTCTTTCTTTCTGGAGCAGTTGCACACGTTTACTTGAACGTTACCTTCAGATAGTTAGTTCCAATTTTCTTTCACTCAGGTTCCTTCTGTGATGACATGTAGTGTCTCTGGCTTTGTTCCTGTCTGATACGTAGTGAGGGCGTTCTTTGTGATTTTGTCCATTTTCAGGGGTCTCAGCTTCACCTTTAGACTGCTTGAACTAGATGATGGTCTGAGCCCACATCAGGTGAGACTGGGCATCTTGAAATGTTGAAAGTGATGATGACTACGCATTGTGAGCCAGATAAGATAAATTTTTCACTGTAAAGAAGGACCTACAGTTGTTGCTAAACGTTCTACTGAGAATAATTGCTGAATAAACCGTGGCTATAGCGGTCAGCAGCGCTACATAGGAAAAATGTAGCAGCTCCAAGAAGCTTATGAAGCTGTCTGAATTTACCACACTATTTTGCGGCAACCAATTCGTTCACTTTATATTCTTCATCTGAATAAATGCTTCGACAAATACACGTGTACTATTCTTATTCCAAAGAGATGACCACATAGTGATGAGAATCTCCATCCACCTTCTTAAGCCCCGGTAAATATTCAAATGGTCGTGTGAACCGGGAAGTGGATAATCCTGTCAAAGGCGATAGAATTATTCCTAGTTGAATTTTTCAGGTGGACGAGCTACAATTCAGGGATTTATTTCAAAAGATTTTTGTTCAGCAAAATAGAAGAGAAAGTGAAATATCACTGTGGACATCATAGGTTTGTTTTGCACACATTTACTTGAAGAATCTTACCTCAAAGTTCGCTTAAGTACCTGATCACGGAATGATATTCTTACGAGAATTAGAACTGTAGTAGCACGTCTATGAGTGAGAATTTACTGGATGAATCCAAATATCCTAATAGCTTTTACGAACTCTTGTTAACCACAAAATAATTAAGCTAGTGTAAGCCAATTTTATTTCTCTGTACTCACCTCTTGGTTGTGAGATGAAGGTTCCTGGTCTTCAGTAAACTTCTGCGTAGTTCGTCCCGCCACTTGCCTGTCATAGCTCGGTTGACTCCAAAAGGGGTAGTGCCTGGATTGATTATATGTTGTTTGTAGTTCGCTGGGTGTTAAGACCGTGCTGCCACCTCGAATGGGACTGATCTTTTCACAGGTTAGCCCTCAAGTGTAGACGGGAAAACAATCCATTGTTTATAAATATCGACTGTTAAATATTTACCTTACATGTTATCAGTGGAATATCTTAGGATGACCCTGTACCTATCGAATTATAGACATAATAAATATTTGTTTATCTACAGCAAATTAGTCAACCATCTAAGGTCATTACCAAGCAGTTTTCCAAAGGGATTTAGGCATTTATTTTTGGGCTTCTTTATCGGAGGAAACATTGTTGAGAGCTGCTTAATTTTTTGTTTCCAATCCAAAACCTTGGACTTATAATTTCCGCTGATCGTAGATTTCGTGAAGACAGTGATTCAATGGTCCTTAAGCCAAATGAAAAGTATGATATTGACACTGATAGATTCCTGTCAGTAGCATCCTGTATTATAAAAGGTATGTTGCTTGGATAGCAATGCTGAGTTATTAGCTAAATAGCTGATATAATTAGTTTGTTAATTTGTTAAGTCTATGCCGACTATATGGATTCTAAACATCTCAGTGGATATTAAATGACTTCACAGCTGCTTTATCTTTTTTACATAACGGCCTTTTATATATAAATTTTGCAAAATTTAGCCACAGTTGTCTTTGGTTTTTGCGTAACACTAAGCTAGCATTATATCTGACCACAAATACTTATTTATGGAGAGCATAATTTAATAAAAGCAGTAATTAATTAGTAAAATATTATGCCTGCTTCAGTTAAGTGTGATATATATTCTATCTGATGTACTGAAAAACTGGCTGAGAGTAATTTTTCGTGAAATTTTTTAATTAGATTTAACTTTATAGGTTTAAACCTCAGGTGAATCGTTGTTGACATTTACCCCAAAGACCTGTCGTCAGGCAAGCATGATTGCGATCAGGCTAGTTTTAGCTGGTGGGTGCCCACATATTTAATATATCATCAAAAAAAATAGAGAAAAGTACAGCTCAAGTGCCTTCTGACTAGTCAGATAAGGCAAAAATAGCCATGTTCATTTCTACTGTTTGTGATTTGAAACAAATTCAAGACTAATATAACTGATAAAATCATTAGGGAGTTCAAACTGTGCATAACGAAAATGCCACTGCATTCCGGTTGACTTTTTCAGAGGAATGTTACACAGCATTCCGTTTACTTCTTTTCATAACTCGACTTTTTGAAGTCATTTCTAGTCGTTGGTTTTTAAATCGATTACTGCCTAAGATATTTTCACTGTTTTCATCTCTTTATCTCCATCGCTTACTTTGCATATAGTTATTAGCCGTAATATGCTATACCGTGAAACATGCTATTCGTAAGTGGAAGACACTGTGTGATTCTCCTGTAATTTAGTCTGAGTTTTTTCGAGAGAAAACTCTGCCTACATTCTTAAACTACCTTTTAGCAGGAGTCCATATCCACATTTTTCATATTACGTTTATTGTTTCACTGAAATTTGCGATGAATCTGCAATCCGTGTATCAGGTACCTTTTAATTGGTAGACGTGCAGAGAAAAAAAATGCCAGAACGTTTTTGTTAGTTTCAGTTGATAAGAATAACTTGTGGACGGGTACAGAGGTAGCATTTGGATCGTTGAAATAATTGACACTTTTGACTTCATCGTAAACGCTTTTTATGAGAACTCATTGCACGACGCAAAGTTGTGACTTATAAATGTTACTTATATTTAAGGGATTTTACTTGTCTTTTGTGTACTTGAGGTTGTATTTGGATGGGAGAAATAAATACCAACTATGTCGGCATACCACGTCAGCAAACATTGTCTGTACTTTGCTGCCTCTTCAGAGCACTTGTTGGTTGGAACTCTTTCTACAAAGCTCATTGATAGACAAGAGTACGTTGACCACTCAATATGAATGCTATGGCAGTCCATTAAAAACAAATTCACAGTGACCCTCAATCATCAGTGTTCATTGTACACCGTATCACCTTTTCTGATTGCTGATAAACATGTCGGTAACATTACCACACCCTGTGTTGGTCTACGTACGCTTTTCGTCGAAAGTTTTATGTTTTCCCGAAAGTATATGAGCATATGTTTTCTTCAGTATTAAGTCAAACTGCGCAAGTCTTTTGAACAGGATCATATTCCCTTAGATAGTAACTAAACATTAAAAAGTATAAGTTGTCAACCATTCCATTTTCGTTTTACGTCATAGAATCATCAGTGTGTGATAGCAATAATGACAGCAATTGAAACCACTCCTTGTGGTTGCTGTATAATAACATGCATTTAAAAAAATGAAATACCGTGAAATACTTAACTGCCTAACGCGCAAAGCAGAGGGGACGATTTTTATTGACAGATAGTCTACTGCTGTTTTTTTTAGAGATCTTTGGTTGTGTGAACGAAAGCTAATAGTTTGGGTTTTGTAAAAATTAACAAATTTCAAAGCAATCTTTATCACTAATTCTCTTGCAGCAGAGAAGCAGTGGAAACGAAATACGCTAAACGTGTGTTTTAGTTTCAGTTGAAGCTTCTAACAATAAGAACTTACCAACCTACCACAGGTATATTAATAAGCAGTACTTATCAGTGTTACTAGATTTCAATCTCTGTCTCGTAAATTAAGCGATATCGAATAATATCAACCTGTACATTCCAATTTGACAGCTGCATGTGTTACTCTTCTGTGGTGGGTTGCACCTTTATTTTTTTACATCAGCCTCAGTTGAGAAGCATTAACTTGGAAAACAATATAGACAAAAGAGAAACGAAATAAATATGACATTACAGTATAGAGAGGTTAGCGTTAAAAAGCTACAGTTTTTGATGGGAAGGTGGAATTCTACAGTAGTTAGATCTGTGTATATTTTGCAGCTTTTTGCAGCATATAGTTGAACGGTGGAATATCTGAAAGGCTGTCGGTAGATGTAAGAATTGCGAAAGTGGTTATTTTGAAAATGTTTGGTCTTAGTGGTTGTTTATTTGTTTGAACTGAATTACGCTGAATAGATTTTTCAAGTAGTAGACTATGTGCCACACATTATAGGAGAGCTGATCGTCTAGACTACTATGGCAGGTGGCACGGGACTCGAATACGTAACCTATTGACTGGAAACTGAGTGCTTGTGCTAGTGAGCCAGATTTTTACTGGCTGAAGCTCTTAGGCAACAACAGTAGACCTTCTTTTACTGGTGCCACTTTTATCTTACCCATGATTAGGGAGATAATAAGGAAGATAACTATTATGCGTAATGTGGAAAGTTGTACAAGGCAGTAGACTGGAAAGTAATTCGTCTTAATGCAATAAAATTCGACAGTGGGATGAAACTACGTGGAACCCTACACAGTAAAACACCCATGTTAGTGGATAGTGACTAGCTGTGGAATCGAGAGTAACGCGCATTTCGTCCCATTTGGGACTCGTCAGATAGCTAGGTCTACATCTGCCTTCTCCGGTGAGTGATAGTGTCCACACTGACACTCGAAGCCAATGCCCACAGTTACAAACCCCAAAGTTTAGGATCACCATCACTCGCTCATTCACTCACTGAATCACTGAAGAGTGCAAGTACATCCAGCTGGCTGACGACTCCCAAATAGGACGAAATGCGCGTTATTCTCGATTCCATGGCTAGTCACATCCACCAAATTACTTCAAGTGAAATAATCAGACATCGTTGAGAGACAACTGCAAACGGCGCCGACATGTCAACCTGAGGTCGAGTACTTCAGTCCAATCAATCAAACAATCAACAGGGAAGTCGCAATTGAATTCACTAAAAGCATCCGTTTTATTCACAGTCGGCATAAAAAAAGAATCACTGAAGTAGAGAAATTATCATGTTAAGTATTTCTTGAATGCGTTAAACAGGCGTTAGGATATTAATAAAATTGGTGTACTTCACTCTGTTTGTAGGTATTTATGAGCTTCCACATAACACAGACTTTAATTGAACAAGAAAAGAATCAATTACACTGCAAAACTGTTTCTTTTAAAAAGTGTTTGTTTAAAAAAAAGTGAACATTTCACACCGGGCAACGCACCGTTATATAAAGTGCAAAATACTTTTTTTTCCAGTGTTATTGCAATTTTAAAAGAAATAAAGAAATAGTACAACTCAATATATTTAAAGCATGAGTATTTTATTGTATCGAAATACTCAGCGGGCTGTCATTTCTACTTCTGCCAGGCATTTTATTCTTGCATAACACTGTAGATTACATAGTTATGACTGGGTTTTAACTTCTCGTAGTAATTAGTTATTATCATTATTGTTATTGTTCCCTTGGGTTTCGAGTGGAACATAGGGCTGTCTTCAACAACACATCTCCGCTTTGTTCTGTTTTCTGCTCTCCTCTTCAACTGGCGGCAGGATCGCCCATAATCTCTCGTCTCCTCCGTCCCCCCCCAAAGATCTTCTCCTTGTCCCCCGCTTGTCTCTTCCCATTGGGATTCCATTCGAGCGATTGCCTGGCTGGCACGCGATATCATTCGACCTTCTCCTCAGTGTATATCCATTGCATTTCCTCTCCAGGATATTTGTGTTTGTTGAGCAGTAGGTGTTTTTTTTAATTGGTTCGTGTTTCCAGAGTTTCTTGTTGCTCATTCTTTCCACTGACCATTTGATCTTCAGTGTGGTGTTGTGCAGCGAAAACGGCTGTTGATCAAAGTCTACAGTAGCCTGTTGGAAATGCTTTTTATGACGTATGCACCGAATTTCTGACTCATATAGAAGACCTGAATTCACATTTGTGTTGAAAATTAGAATTTTGTTTTTTTCCTGTGCTGAATGTGTTAGAGATTTTCAAAAACTGATTTCAGATTGATGAAGATGTATGTTGCCTTTTGCGAATCTGTCTTTGACATTTTCATACATTCCGGCTGTCTGTAGTTGAAACGATACTTCCTAGATAATTGAAGGAAAAGGCCTCTTTCACATTTCTACCATCTATAGTGAATGGTGCTGGTTGTGATTGTCTCTGTTCACCTGGAGTTCTGTCTTCTCCGGCTGCTTCTTTAGCCACTTTGTTGGTTGTTGCCTGCAAGTCTTTGGATGCTTTTAACATTAAACAATAAATCGTCTGCGAAATCCAGATCTTTTAGAGTCTTCTTATCGGTACAGAGTATTCCTGGGGGTCTAATAAGACTAACTAATTAGTTATATATGTATATTATTATTATTATTGTTCCCATGAATATGCGTAATCCCTCATCTCCTCCTTGCCACACGATCTTCTTCAGGTCTTCCTCGGATGATCCACTCGAGCAATGGCCTGGCTGAAGCGCGATGTCATTCGACAGCCTCCTAAAACTATGCCCGATCCATCTATCTCCATTGTCTCCAACATATTTGTTGAGTAATCGCCTTATATGTGCGTCGATGGCACAGTTGGCGATTAGGACGCTTGCCGATCATCCACATGGTCTGGGGTTCGACCCTCGGCCACCGACGCACTCC